AGTGTTTAGACGTTCTGTGTTTCTCCCAAATTAAGCTACGGCTAGCATACTGCTACTTTGAAAAATTTTTTGTTGTTTGGTTGTTTTCTCTTGTTAAGCGAGTCACCGTTTCGTGAATGCTTCATGCATTTTTCTGGAACCACTCTGTGTAGTATTCGTATGCTCTTCATTTGGCATACCAACTTTGAGAATTTTTCATTGACAATATTTGTAGCATTTTAGGGCAGCCGATGTTTCCTGACAGCTGACGAGCACACAGAATGCAGCTGTTTCAAGAAGACAATCGTTCTACTGTTCCTATTGTCTGATCGTTCCATATGTAATACATCATCCAGAAATTTGCGGATGCTATCCTACAGTATTGCTTTAATTTAGGATCGACAACGTGACCCTTTTCCACGATCATTTCAAGACATTTGTGATAGTTTAGCTTTCCTCTCCATATGTTTGGTGTAACGCCATCCAGAAAGTCGTGATTATCGTAATGTCATAGAGACTTATGATTAATGACAACTGTGTTTGTTGCTTGTATCCAATTAATACTGATTTATCCAATCAATTTATTCAAACTTTAAATAAGAAGTAGTTCGAAAAAATGAAGGTTGTTAACAGTGCATGCAGATGAACAAAGTACATTTCAATCAAGAGACTGGATGAGCATTTCTTTCACCTCTCAAAGAAAGACGAACTGGTTGTTTAGAATGTGCTTTAAGCATATGACGTGATGGCACAGAGCCTAAGACGTCAGCTTCGAACGCTGGAGGTACCAAGTTCGATTCCGGCGGAGGACAATGTTTGTATTAACTGCGAATTGTCTTCAGTAAACAATTTCCTACACGTTGTTTCAGACCGGGGTTTCTTAGCTGGTTTGACTCGGATCTGAGGTTCAAGGCCCTTTGACTAAGGCATTCCTAACTATTCGCATGGAAATGGGCATCAGCTCCGGCCATTAACTTCTTGGAAAGAAGCGCGCCAGAAGTGATTTCATCAAGAAAATGTAAGAAATAGAAAGACGACAAACCTTCAATTTTTTCCTTTCCTTAAAATATGATTTTTGAATATGTGTGCACCACGACATCGAATATCGATCTGGGCTCTGTCACCTGGCGTCATTACTGCTTGAACGTCAAGCATGCATCTCTACCTCGCTGTTATTTGGCGGCGCCGTCAATGCAGAAGTATGGCATGTCACTGAGGCATATTGTTAGTACACCACCTATTAACATATGAATTCTCGTCCTGTAATTTCTGATCGTTGCAATCCTGCACATAGGACCGCAAAGAAATGGCTTTCGGCTAGAAGCTGATTGGTCGACTGGCGCGCAGGTTAGGAAACGGATCGGCCAGATGACAGACTCCTGAGTATCACAAACTATGCTGCAAAAGTACCGCTAGGTATGTGTACAAGTTTTGTTTGCTGGATTGACGAAAATGGCAAATAAAACTCCCGTAATGGCACTCTTGTTACGTGTAGGGCTGCATTACCTGTTGCTCTTCACCTGTGCAAATTTTTTTGACTTACGTGCAAGTTCATTAAGTTGCTTGTGCACATCGACAAAACAGAAATTTATTAATGAAAAAATATACACATACACGTTTTGTACTGTTGCACTGAAGGTCATGAAGTTCGGGTGGTACACTGAAGCATGGTATTTGTTTTGCAGACGCTAACTTGCACTTGCCTCAGGCGCCAGTGACGAAATTTGCATATAAGTTTTTTAACGTCCGGGTGAAACCAAGCGTATATGAAAGCATTAACTGTACTGTCGAAGCAGCCAAAGATGAATATGTAGATGGATATGATATTGTAATACGGCCCCGTAGGGCCAATCAGCGAATAAATAGAAAATGGCACTAGGTGAAGTAAAATTATGGGCACGACCAGAATGCCGATACGTTTGGTTACTATTAGATCTCTTCGTCGCAGGTTGCTATTGCCCAAGCGACCGGACCGTTTCCGGACCCACATCGATATCACGATCACCGCATAGATGAACACGATGGCGATTGACGCGATCATGGTAAGAAAAAAGTGCACTTCGTAATGAACCGAACCCACGGTGTCCTCGTAAAAACAATTGGCACTGTAGGTGGTCGTGTCACGGTGGATCAGAGCCAGGGCGAAAACAACGCAAAAGTCGACGAAGGTGATCGCCTGCAGAAGCGAGACGACCTTAACAGCAATGGGAGTGGAGAATTTGTGAGACCATCGCGAAAGGTGCAAGATTATCGCGCGATCGATGGTCATCAGGACCAAGTCAAAGCAACTGGTCAGCACTCCGGTTTCGAAGAAGAAAATGTGAATTCCTTGAACAAAACATTGCAACGAAGTCATTGGAAAATCGCCCGTCAACTCGATGATCGTCCTCCTCACCGACGATGTCACGTATCCCAGACTGACCAGTAGACTGGCAACGGTAAATCCTAAATACGCCTAAGGACTAATAAATGAACTCGCATTGTCAAACAAATATTTCTGACTCATATGCGCTCAGACCAATTTACTCGTAACCATAGTACGTATTAACATTTGGTTGATCGTGTGTAAACCTGAATATCATTTTACAATATACAGCAATACAGCTAACATTACCTTTACATGAATCTCGCTGGAACGTTAGGTCAGCATTACGCTAAATGACACTTGCCTTGGCTACGAGCAATTCCTAGCTTTCGGAAGTCATAATATTGCGAAATGTAACAATTATGACCTAGTATGGTGCCTCAATTGCCTGCTGACTTCTTAACGTGCGGCTCTGGCAGAAATGAGCGGTTGCCTATGGTTTAACTTACCAAACGACACTGAAGCGATAATTCTGCGATTCCAACAATCATCGTAAAAATAGTTAAGTTCGCTATCCTTTTGCATGCTGGAACGTTCGTTCCTTACGAGAGAAAGTCGGTTAGCTGTTGACTGCCGTACGACTCGAGCGTACAAACTCGATTGACTGGTCGGATGCCTACGAAAGCCCGCCTCCCGGAGATGGAAACGGTTGATCTGCAGGATGGTGGTCACTGGGGTGACGTGGCCACAATAATTACGCCGTGCCGTGTGAGTATCTTCACGCTATAGGGCAAGTCAGACAGTCATTTGTGTGGAACACGTGTCAGAGAGAATTTAGTCTGTCGAGCGAATGTCATACAGGCTAAGTTGAATGTCATTATCGGCTATATGACGACAAACGTGTCAAGTGACAGTGACAAAGACGTTTTCTATTACTCTATGCGTCAGCTGTCACATTGTCCCTCAACTAATACAAACCATAGCCAGACTACTCAACCGTCACCGTATTGACAGCATGAATAACGACGACAGCCGCTTATTAAGCGCTTTTTGGGCGACAAACAGCTTAATCGTCGGATGAATCATTTTTCTTCCTAAGCGAAATCATCAGACCTCCTGGACGTCCCCTGATGGAGTCTAAAAGACTCAGTTGGGCCGCTCCTCATGAACCGCAAACGTCGCCGTTCTTTACTCAAGACTTGAGTTAGACTTGGCTCCATCATTGGGCCTGATCATCATATTGTTGCGGTGGAACTTCGTAAAAACTCGACTCGACGTCATGTGCCTGAGAAGCGCCGGCCGGTCGATGTTGACAGGCTAAAATATATTTATTTGTCTACAAAAAGTGCCAGAGAGTCACTTAGTGCCAACCTGAGTGCTGCCCTTAATGCCCACTCATTAAGTGGCAGAGTTGAAGAGGTTTACAACGATTTAAGAGAAGTCGTCATTTTTTCGGCGAAGAATTTAGCTGCCGCTGGGAAAAGAATGGTTAAACTGCCCTTAACTAAAAAAGCGACGAAAATCCCAGCGCTTAGGGGGCAAATGGATCAGGCAGAAAACTTGCCACGCCCTAATGCTCCCTCGAAGGTAACTCATGACCATCTCGTTCGTTCAATCAGATCTACAGGTAGGAGAGGGAACTTTGGCTGGAGGTAGAAATCAGGAAGACAGCCACTGAGGATGAATAGCGAACAGTGTTCAGAAGATTGAGAATTGTCCGATAATCAGGTGATTCGGTCTATCCCTGTCCAAGAAACTAAAGATCTCTCACTGACAGGTCAAAAATAACATCTCAAA